TTGTACCCTGACACACGGTTCTACTCTGACACACGTTGTACTCTGCCACGAGTCAGAATCAAATCAACAACAACAGCTTTTTAGTTCACTGTTTTCCCTTTAGTCCTCACAGAAAGGGCTCAGCGACTAGGCATAGAACGAATGGGCAGATTCTGACTTTCTTTCTCATTAAGTATTTAAGTTTATTCAACAATGAAAGTGTAAATAATTGGCAAAAGGAAATCAGTGAGGTTTTTTAAAATATATTAAAACAATGATTCTTTCTGAAAAGCTTCTGAAGCCTTCTTTAGGATGCACATACTGTGGCTCCATAGGATAAGGTCAGTTTGAACCACGAGGTCTGCTGTTCAAACTCACCAGCCGCTCCTCCGAAACCCTATACGGGGTGGCTATGAATCGGAACCCACTCGACAGCACTTCACAACACCAACAACCACAACAAAAAGAAAAACGTAATTTACCACCAGAATCTGTTGCATTGATCAGAACCTAAATGAAGCAGCAGAAAGAAGCAGAGGGCGAAGATGGAACAAAACTTAGTTACCACATCCCACAGCTCCTTCCACCTTAGTTGTAGGTTGACGTCGCACAAGTGGTGCTGTAGAATAAGCACTGGTCTGACAGGTCGTTTGAGACACAAGGTCGGTGGTTCAAACTCACCAGCCACTCCTCAGAAGCCCTATACAGCGTTGCTATGAGTCGAAGTGACCTCGATGGCACTTAACGACAACACAAGTTCATACAAGTAGTGAAAACCAAATACTAATGAGGCTTTAACAATTGTTCCAGTGGCAAAATCCTCCGTTGATAAAAGTGATTTTCAAAAGGAAACCGAAAATGAAAAGGGGAACAAATGTGTTGGGTGAGGTTTAGCCAAAAATAATTTCAAAGTTTTTTATTTTTTAAAATTTAAAAACATGTGCATACAGGAGCCCTGGTGACCCAGTGATTAAGCGCTGAACTGCTAACTGGAAGGTTGGAGGCTCGGACCCATCAGCACTCTACCTCAGGGTACAAGTGTGGCAGATTGCCAGAACCTGAAACCTACCTCCATCAAGGGGATTCTAAGTCAGTGATCCTGTAGGACAGAGTAGGGTCCCCACAGGGTTTCCAAGGCTGCTCCATGGAGAAGCTGCTGGATTCAAACGGCTGGCCTTTTAATTAACAGCGGAGTGCTTTAACCACTGTGCCACCAGGACTCCTTCCATCAAGATTCACGGCTTTAGGACGTCTATGGGGCAGTTCTCCGCTCCCCTATAGGGTCCCTGTGAGTCCAAATGGACTACAGCCCGGAGTTTATATGGTAATAAGACACTTCTGTTTTCAGAAGGTATGTCTAGCTTTTGAATTTTTGAAAGGCTTTTGGATACACTTAGTAGCTGTTTTACAGATTATCTGGAAGCAGTTGACAGCTATGCTCCTTGGTTTCTGAATGCTACAGTGCAATTTGGAGCTTTTATTTTAAAATGCAGATTCTGCTGAGTTTCTTACACTAGTTCTGGTCTCTGCTTAATTTTCCTAATCGGGGTTTTCAATTTAGATCTTTTTAACTGTCTCCCAAATTGTGGCCTGACTGACCATTTTGCGTTTCCCCCTTAGACTATTCAGGCTTCCAGATTTCAAACACAGTTTCTGTAGACCTTTTCCTCTGGTTCAGGAAGGGCGTTCATCAGAGGCAGCCTCTGGTGTGTTCTAACCCCGGCTTCCCCAACTTTAAGGTGAGCAGCACAGCTTCATCCATGTAGCTAAGCCTCAGGGCCCAGGACACATGCACCAGGTGCCCGGATTTCCAGGCCTTACCACGAGCAAACCCAAGAGCTGTTGGCAGCCTCGTTCTGGGGTCTCCTCAGTGCCCACACTGTTCCGGGCTCCTGCTGCGGGGCTGAGACAGGGCGCGGGGGAGACAGGACAACTGCCCCACAGGATTTATATTCTGAGCTTGTGAACCAGAGACCTGCTGGCCTCTGTCCTCAAGGTGTCATTGCATAGTGACAAAGCAGTGCGAGGCCTCTGGTAGAAAAGGGCCTCATCAGGCAGGGGATGAGGAAACAGACACACATCAGTTTCCACTTGAGCTCACCCTATGAACAAGTGAAAGAATCCGAGCCTTTGATGTCCCCAGACCCATTTCTGTTGAGTCAATTCCAATTCACAGCAAACCTTGAAGGACAGATTTACAGATTAACCCCACAGGGGTCCCAAGACTCCATCTTTGTGGAGGCAGAGTTTCACGCTTTTTCCCATGGAGGGGCTGGTGGGTTGAAACTGCCAACCTTTTGGTTAGCTGCTGAAAACTTAATCATTGCGCCACCGGGACTCCTCCTTTGATGTGCAGATCCTGCTTTTGTCTTTACATGTTATATTTAAAAAATCTGTTTCCATCCAAGGCATTTCTGACGTTGCGACCTGTGTGTACCGCAGGGTTTTAATTGTTTGTTTATGGAGCTACATTGCAAGGCCTTTCTGACGTCCTCAGACATGTAGCCTTTCAGTTACTAGTCGAGTGTACCACCCGGGGACTCCACATACTTGGGGGTCATTTGTTGTTGTTAGTGCCCGAGCCGGTTCTGACCCATAGTGACCCTGTTTAGGGTTTCCGAGGAGCAGTTGCTGACCTCGTAGTTATATGACCATTATTATATTTAATATTAATATTATATTAATAATATTTGTTATGGTTATTATTGTTTCAAGTCCTGATGTGGTATTATAAGGTAAGCACATGACCACAAGGTTGGTTTGAACTGCAAGGTCAGCAATCCAAATTCACCAGTTGCTCCTTGGAAACCCTATATAGGGTCGCTATGGGTTGGAACCGACTCAATAACACTTAGTAACAACAACAACAACATTATTACTATTATTACCATTATTAGCTGAAATGCCACCAGTCACTTTTAAGTAGTTTGTCTCATAAGACACAGACAAGGGTTGCTAATTACCTCAGACTTTGCCTACATTATGAACTTCGTGAAGACTAATAGACACATGTGTTCCATACAGTAATGTCCTTCCCTCCATCCAATTTACCTCTGGGCCTAGGTCTTGGCTTCAAAGCTTTGTTCCTTTCGTCACCACTGTTGTTGTGAAGTGCCATGGAGTCAGTTCTGACTCACAGCGACCCTGTATAGACTGGTGAGTTTGAACCACCAACCTTGCGGTTAGCAGCCCAGTGCTTATCATACAGCGCCACACCAAGACTCTATATCAGGGGAAGGATATCTTTGAGGGAGCGCCAAGTTTCGTGGGAGTGCAGCATGGAAGAACATTGCTTTGTTTCAGAAGTTCTCGTTACTGTCTCCTTAGACCTAATCTAATTCAGGACTCTCAGCCTTAGGTCATTCTTTGCTGTGAGGCTGGTCTGCGTGTAGTAGGATGTTTATCTTAGCAGCGTCTCTGGCCTCTACTCACTAAATGCCTATAGCA